CTAGGTTTGAGATCGTTTTCTGCCTTTCGTAAGGCCATTTCATTTGCATTATTTAATTGCTCCTATGGAAAATCTAGACAGCATACTAAAAAGCAGAGACATCACCCTGCCAACAAAAGTACGTATAGTAAGGCCATGGTTTTCCCAGTTGCAATGTATGGCGGTGAAAGTTGCACCATAAGAAAGGCTGAGAGACAAAGAATGGAGGCCTTTGAACTCTGGTGCTGGAGAAGACTCCTGCGAGTCCCTGGACTGCAAGGTGATCAAACCGGTCACTCCTAGAGGAGATCAACCCTGACTGCTCTTTAGAAGGCCAGATCCTGAAGTTGAAACTCAAGTACTTTGGCCACCTAATGAGAAGGAAGGACTCCCTGGAGAAGGGCCTAACGCTGGGAAAGATGGAGGGCAAGAGAAGAAGGGGACGACAGAGAAGGAGGTGGCTGTATGGAATCACTGAAGCAGTAGGCAGGAGCTTCAATGGACTCCAGAAGATGGCAGAGGACAGGAAGGCCTGGAGGAACGTTGTCCATGGGGTCGCGATGGGTCAGACACGACTTCGCAATTAACAACAACAAAATGCTTAGAACACTTCTGGAATCTGCAGCCTTAGAAAACCCTGAAACGGCAACCGCCTTTCCCCATCCCAAGACAGCAAGGAAACAAAACTGCGCCGGCAGCAAGAAACGAAACCGACCCATTGAGAGTTTCGCTTCTTTTGCAGATTTGGGGGCTATCCAACCGCTGGGGTGGAAGCCCAGCCGCCCCATTCCGGCCATCTGCACCCAGAGCCGGTCACTCCGGACAGAAATAAACACCCGCGCGTGCAAAGTGTTACCAAGCACCCGCACGTCTCCCCCACCCCCACCCCAGCCTTCCCAAAGCACGCTTAAGCATTGCAACATGTTTGCACGTGACAAAAACCCATGACTCGCTTTGGGCGTGCTCTTGTTGCTCAGCCTCTCTGATGGTCCTCTGGGGGGGGGGAGTCCCCCCCCCCCAAAAAAAAATAAAGAACCAGAAAGGAAAGCACTGCCGTTTGGAACAAAGCAGCCTCTGATCCGGACCGACTCCGAATTCCACCTTTAAACGCGCCCTTGAGATTTCCGAGTTTATTCTTTGCAGCGAAAGGAGAACCAGGAAGCGTCTCCCTCCAGCAAATCAGGGGGAGCTGTGAGCGACGGCGCGCCGCGGCCAATCAGCGAGCGCGGCCCGGGCCGAAAGAGGCGGGCTTAGAACAACCTGGGCATTCCCAAGCAAGGAGGCGAAGGGGCGGCCGGCAGGAACCGCGGCGGGAGGGGGAGAAGGCTTTGAGAACGGCGGCCAGCGCCGGGCTTTTCTAGCGAGGTGGTTGGTGGGGGGGGAGAGAGAGAGAGAGAGAGAATCTGGCGCGCCTCGGAAGAGCCCCCGAAAGCGTGAGATTACGGGTTCGAATCCCACTTGGGGAAGAGTTGGGTTTGGAAGCGGGGTTAGTTTAAAAGTTTCGGGGTACGGGGGTGAGCCCGGCTCTTGGAAGTCAGCCCCCCCTTCGTTCTTTAGCTCCTAAGAAGGGATCTGAGCAGCCGAGGACCTTAAAAGGTGCCTAGAGTGGGGTGGAAGGGTTGGAGAGTGCCAAAACTGGGTGAGGGTCGGGGAAACCCAGAGGTTCCTGGGTCCTTAAGAGAGAGGACCTTGGAGGGGGAGTTAAGTAGGGGGCAACACCCTCGTTCTGAGCTAGGGGGAGACTTTTTTCAGCTGGGTCACCCAACAGGAGAAGTTGAGTAAGGCGTTGGCCAACCAGCAATGCAAGAAACTGAGTCCAATGAGAGAAGCCCGCTCTTAGACCCCAATGTTCGGTCGCCCGTCTCCTTCCCCGCAGCCAATGTCTTCCATGGACGGCGTTTGGCCTGCGCTGCAGTGCTGCTGACTGAACTGCTGGAAAGGGTGGCCTTCTATGGCATCACCTCGAACCTGGTGCTCTTCCTCAATGGAACTCCTTACAACTGGGAGGGTACCGAGGCCAGCCAGGCCCTTCTCCTCTTCATGGGGATCACCTACCTGATCTCCCCTTTTGGGGGCTGGCTGGCCGACGCCCTATTGGGCAAGTTCCCCACCATCTTGGTCAGTATGGCGGTCTACCTCTTGGGCATGCTGGCCTTCCCCGCCATGGCCATCGCTCCAAGCCGTCAATGGCTGTGTGGGGAGCTTCGCCTATCAACCATTGAGAACTGCTCAACGCCTCTGGAGAGTAATGTTACGTCTGCCCCGTGCTCGTCAGAAGGAACCACGCGCTACTGTCTCATCGCCTCCTATGTCGGCTTGGTGCTGGTTGGGCTGAGCGTGGGCTCCGTCAAGGCCAACATCACCCCCTTTGGAGCTGATCAGGTGGAGTAGCCTTCATTGTCTTCCTCCATAATGAAATCTTGGGTTGGGTTGTCAAACAGGTGGCCAAGCAGACCGGTTGGAGAGCTTCATGTCTGTCCTTGCTGCTCTCTGTAGCTGTCTTAGTTGGTGGTGTAGATCTTCTTGGAGATGTGGTCCCTGCCGAAACACCATAGTTAAGTAGGAAACCATGTGGTTTCTTAAGAAGATGGGTTCCATTAGAGGTTGGGCCATCCGAGGCTTGGGTGTTCTTATAGGAATTTCTGCACTAATTGGGGAGGGGAAGATAATCAATAGAATCTTCCTGCTCTAGGTATCTATGATCATCTTCCCCATTTCCAGGCAGGCCTGCAGAAGCATCTGGAAAATGGTAGCTTATAGCAAAGACCAGCCTTCTCCAACCTGGTGGGACCCATCAACTCATAGGTTTGGCCACAATGATCAGTTCAAACAAAGTTGGGGTTGACAATGCTAAATTAAATGCAACAATGGCCTAAAAGTATAGTTAGCAGCTGTTTAGCCTTCAAATGATGAGCAGTGATTGATTTGTAACGTTGAGACCCACCTCCTCAACTCATTCTTGTAACATTCTGATTTTGTGGGTGTGTTGCATATGATGCTCAAAGGATGGAGTTTTTTCTTGGTTCCCCTCCCGTAATCTGTGGCTTTGTGGATTTTTAAGATTAGCTTCCCAACATCTAATCTTCATGATGGCTCTTTCCATCAATTGTCCCCTCCTCTTTGCCTCTCCACCACCAAATTTGGGTGTGTAGTGGAAGATTCGCGGAGTTGGTTCGAAAAGCTCTTCACGTTGGGAGATACCTTTGAAAGGAAAGGCCCAAGAAAGGGAAAATTCAAGAATTAGGGGCCATGAATGAACTAAATATTACCTTTGAATTGTGGTATGGATTGATATCTCTCTCAAGAACGCTGAGACGGCGTGCTTGACTTGTATTTGTATATGTAGAATAAAGCTGGAAGGGACCTTGGAGGTCTTCTAGTCTAGCCACCCCGCTTAAGCAGGAGAACCTACACCATCTCAGACAGGTGATTGTCTAGTCTCTTCTTAAAGATCTCCAGTGATGGAGCGCCCACGATTTCTGGGGGTAAGCTGTTCCAGTGGTTGATTGTCCTCACTGTCAGGAAGTTTCTCCTTAAATCCAGGTTGCTTCTCTCTTTGATCAGTTTCCAACCATTGTTTCTCGTCCTTCCCTCTGGTGCTTTGGTGAATAACATGACCTCTTCTTCTTTGTGGCAGCCCCTCAAATACTGGAACACTGCTATCATGTCTCCCCTATTTCTTCTTTTCTCTAGACTAGTCAAACCCAAGTCCCGCAGCCGTTCTTTGTATGTTTTAGCCTCCAGGCCCCTGATCATCTTAGTTGTTCTTCTCTGAATTTTTTCTAAACTCTCAACATCTTTTTTGTGATATGGTGACCAAAATTGGCTGCAGTCTGACTAGGGCTTTAGTACTTATGTGTGACATAAGTACATTAGCTCCATAAACTAATGACCTGGGTGAGTCAACTGTTTGCTTTAGAAGAAGACACAGGAAATCTGCAATAAAGAAACATTTGGTAGGTTCTTCTCGATTCTTCTGTCCTTCAACGGTGTCGTATGAGTGGGGTCTCCTTTAACAGATTCCTGATTCTTCCATTCTCTTGCCTTTGGGTTGGACAATGGAGGGTTAAGAAATATTTCTGAGTAAGCCAGATTTAAAATTAGAATTTTCAGCTGCTCTTTAGACCAAATTATCCTCATTAATAGTAGATATTCATATGTCTTGAATGTGCTTGTTATGCTTTTTGGGGATACATTAGCTTCTGTTTCTTGCAATCTCATCCTTCCCCAGTTCTGATGTCTTTGAAATACATTTACATAAATTACGTTTGGTTTTTTTAAAGCTGTAATACCTTTCTGGGTGGCTAAAATAGCTGAGGTTTTGGATAATGGGAGTTGTAGTCAAAGTCATTTGGCCTGCACCAGATTGAGAAAAGTAGAAACCTGAAAAATGTGTACCAAAGTGTTCCCCGGAGGCAGCTGATTGACTGTAAAAAACATTGTGTTATATTAAGGCAAAGAAATTGGCCTCTTAAATTTCCTAGTACGCTAATTTCTTCTCTCTGGCTTATTATGCTGTGTTGTGCTAAATTTCTATATAATTCTTCCTCTGTGCTAATCGCTCTGACCTGATAGGCACACAATTGTGGCCTTGTGACCAATCAGACATGTGACACCAATAGGGAAGGTCTGTTCCAGGAAAGGCACAACATTTGTCTATTGTGAGTTTGGTCCTCCAGATGTTGTTGATATGGCTTTCCTGGTCAGCTGGCTGATAATGAGGAATTCCGGGATTCGTAAGTCAAGCAACATCTGGAAGATCCGTCTCTGTGGAAATGAAACTTGGACTTTGAGGAAACAGGATTGAAAGAGGATTGACACATTTGAACTTCGGAGTTGGAGAAGATTCCTAAGACCGTGGACAACCAAGATAAGCAATGGATCATCAAACAGATAAATCCACAGTTCTCACTCAAGGCATGAATGATCAGTCTGAAATTGTCCTACATTATGTGAAGACCCAGTTTTCTGGAGAAGGTTCAGATGCTAGAAAAGATGGAAGGAAAGGGAAGGAGCTGGATGGACTCAAGTTACAATGATGATAGGGCCACCGTTGGAAGATAATTCTTGGAGACATCCTTCTGGAGAAAATTGACATATATGGTCAACACCAACTTCAACTGCATATGAAATCAAATTTCTGTTTCCCATCAATCAACTTCCTCTGTTGACCTAAGATCTAAACCAGGGATGTCCAACCTTGGAAACTTTAAGACCCATGGACTTCAACTCCTAAAATTGTGGGAGTCCACCTGTCTTAAAGGATGGTGGCTGGGGAATTCTGGGAGCTGAAGCCTACCCATCTTAAAGCATGCTGGCTGGGGAATTCTGGGAGTTGGTCCACCTGTCTTGATGCTGGCTGGGGAATTCTGGGTGTTGAAGTCCACCTGTCTTGAAGGATGTTGTCTGGAGAATTCTGGGAGTTGAAATCCACAAGGCTTAAGCTTGCCAAGATTGGACACTCCTGCCATCAACCAAAGTTTCTCAAGACACACCTTCATTGTTTTCTCTCTCTCCAAAATGAATGTATTGCTCTTCTCATTTTCCTGATGATGTTTTCATTATACCGGCAAAACACGCTTACACCCTGTTCCAAATAGGCAGACTTAAGCAATGCAGTGATTTCATCCCAATGTGCTGAAAAAGAGGATTTTTTTTTTCATCGCTCTCCCAGCTGTGTTCAAGTTCCTCTTTTAAATTGGTTTGTTTCCTGTTCCTCGCTTTGACACACGGTGATTTTTAAAAAAAAAAACTACCATGACTTCTCATAATTCTGAATTCAGCTGCCATCACTGCAAGGAAATGAAACTGACTTGAAACATAAAAATGGCAAAGGATGAGTAGCCCCAAATCCTTCTACATCACACGGGGGGGCGTGAGCGCCTCTTAATTCATTATGTTCTTCTCGTCCTTCCATCTGGTGCTTTGGAGAATAACGTGACCCCCTCTGCCTTGTGGCAGCCCCTCAAATACTGGAACACTGCTATCATGTCTCCCCTATTTCTTCTTTTCTTTAGACTAGGCAAACCCAAGTCCTGCAGCCGTTCTTCATATGTTTTTGTCTCCAGGCCCCTGATCATCTTAGTTGCTCTTCTCTGAATTTTTCCCAAACTCTCAACATCTTTTTTGTGATATGGTGGCCAAAACTGGCTGCAGTATTCCAGGTGTGGTCTGACTAGGGCTTTGTAAAGCGGTACTAATACCTCGTGTGATCTTGATTCTATGCCTCTGTTTATACAACCCAGGATTGTATTAGCTTTTTTGGCTGCTGCTGCACGCTGTGGGCTCATAGTCAAGTGATTGTCCACTCAGACTCTGAGGTCCCTCTCACAGTTGCTGTTTTTGAGCCAAGTCTCGCCCAATCTGTACTTGGACCTTTGGTTTTTCCTGCCTAAATGTAAAACTTTGCTTTTCTCCACATTGAGACTCATTTTGTTGGATAGGGCCCTTTGTTCAAGTTGGTCAAGATCTTTTTGGATCCTGAGCTTGTCTTCTGGGGTGTTTGGCTATTCCTGCCAGTTTAGTGTCATTTGCAAATTTGATCAGTTCCCCTTCTATTCCCTCGTCTAAGATTTAATCCTAACTAGGGCCAGATTTTCAAGGAGGGATTGATATGCAGAAATCCAGATGTTTAATGCAGAGACGTCACCCTGCCAACAAAAGTACGTATAGTCAAGGCCATGGTTTTCCCAGTTGCAATGTATGGCTGTGAAAGTTGGACCATAAGAAAGGCTGAGCCCCAAAGAATTGAGGCCTTTGAACTCTGGTGCTGGAGAAGACTCCTGCGAGTCCCCTGGACTGCAAGGTGATCCAACCGGTCAGTCCTAGAGGAGATCAACCCTGACTGCTCTTTAGAAGGCCAGATCCTGAGGTTGAAACTCAAGTACTTTGGCCACCTAATGAGAAGGAAGGACTCCCTGGAGAAGAGCCTGATGCTGGGAAAGATGGAGGGCAAGAGAAGAAGGGGACGACAGAGAAGGAGGTGGCTGGATGGAGTCCCTGAAGCAGCAGGCGTGAGCTTAAAGGGACTCCAGAAGATGATAGAGGACAGGAAGGCCTGGAGGAACGTTGTCCATGGGGTCATGTTGGGTTGGACACGACTTCGCAACTAACAACAAAGATGTTTTATATGCCAGGCAAAAACTCAAAGCCACCTCTCCCCTAATTGCACATCCCTAATCTTATTTATCAGATTTTAAAACCTGGGGCACTATGAAAAGGAAAGATGGCTACACATCTCGAATTGCGTGGGGCTTTCTTTCTTTCTTTGGAAGAGTTTTAAGCAAACCAGAAGAATTGAGGGGTAGGGATGAGGGCAGTGGTGCCATTCTTGGTCTTCATCCAGCTGTGTTGGCACAGCTTCCAAGACAGAAACCGGACCTTTTAATGAGGCCACGAACAAGCCCTGCCAGTGAAGGACGTTGGCTTTTGTGCGAGCCGGGATGGCATAATTGAACCCAAACACAGCAAAACACGTCTCTGGATGATTCAGCTGGCGCAGGAGGAATGTTCTGTTTTTTTTTTTATTTTCTTCCTTTTTTGCACGGGGAGATACAGTAGTGGCTTTTCATTCGCAGCTGTGTCATAGAACAGCAGCCCCAATGAGTCATGAAAAAAATGGGGCTTTGGGGCCAAGGGTGTGTCTGTGTAGATAGATATATCCCTATAACAGCTGTTGGGCTCTCAGTCCCCAGGAAACGGTGACTTATTCTCTATTTTCAATCTTTTCGGCTGCTTTAAGATATGTGGACTTAGAAATAGAATAGAATAGAATAGAATAGAATATGGAACAGAGTAGAGTAGAACAGAACAGAACAGAATAGAATAGAGCTGGAAGGGACCTTGGAGGTCTTCTAGTCCAGCCCCCTGCTCAAGCAGGAGAACCTATACCATCTCAGACAAATGGCTATCCAATCTCTTCTTAAAAACTTCCAATGTTGGAGCATTCACCGCTTCTGGAGGCAGGTGGTTCCACTGGTTAATTGTTCTGGCTGTCAGGAAGTTTCTCCTTAGTTCTAGGTTGCTTCTCTCCTTAATTAGTTTCCATCTGTTGCTTCTTGTCCGGCCTTCAGGCGCTTTGGAGAATAGCTTGACTGCCTCTTCTTTGGGGCAGCCCGAGATATTGGAAGACTGCTACCATGTCCCCCCTTGTCCTTCTCTTCGTTAAACTAGACATACCCAATTCCAGCAACTGTTCTTTGTATGTTTTAGCCTCCAGTCCCCTGATCATCTTTGTTGCTCTTCTCTGTACTCTTTCTAGAGTCTCAACATCTTTTTTACATCGTGGTGACCAAAACTGAATGCAGGATTCCAAGTGTGGCCTTACCAAGGCCTTGTAAAGTGGTATTAACACTTCACGTGATCTTGATTCTGTCCCTCTGTTAATATATATAATACAATAATAATAATTATCCCTCTGTTAATATTATATATTCAGATTTCTTTTTGCTGACAAGAGTTAAAGATTTAAGTGGGAGACTAGTGTAGCTATTTCGGATTCATTCGTCCTCATCAGCTAGCCACACCCCTTTATGGGATTTGAACCTGGGCAGTCTACACGCTAGGCAGTTGTACTAGCCACCAGGTATAAATAAATAAATAAAATAACTTTTCTCATAGACTTTTCTTCTCCCTTGGGGGGAAAACCAAAATCTCCTCTAGGTGAAGGATCGAGGTCCGGAAGCCACCCGGCGTTTCTTTAACTGGTTTTACTGGAGCATCAATTTGGGCGCCCTCCTGTCCCTGGGAGGCATCGCGTACATCCAGCAGAACATCAGCTTCACCATCGGCTACGTCATCCCCACAGTTTGCATTGGGGTCTCCTTCGTGGTCTTCCTGTGTGGCCAGAGCGTCTTCATCACCAAGGCCCCGGATGGCAGCGCCTTCACCGACATGTTCAGAATCCTGACTTATTCTTGCTGTAACCGGAAACAGCCCGAGCGGTTTTCCAGCCCCAGGTAGGTAAAAGTGAGGGGTTTTGGGGGGGGATCGTTTCCCCTGGACCGAGACTCAGTTGGTGTAAAACCGGAGTCTGGATACATTTAAGTTTGTGTTGCTTAGTGAATGCTCCAACACTGGAAGTTTTTAAGAAGAGACTGGACAGCCATTTGTCCGAAATGGTGTAGGGTTTCCTGCCTGAGCAGGGGGTTGGACTTGATGACCTCCAAGGTCCCTTCCAACTTTATTATTATTATTATTATTATTATTATTATTATTATTATTATTATTATTATTATTATTATTATTATTATTATTATT